ATGGAAGCCATTCTGAAGCAGCCAGGGGGGGATTCTGCATGAGCCAAATAGCAGAGACAGGACCAATCGTCAAAATTTTGGTGTCGATCATTCGATTTCATCCTGGACACTACAGAAAATGGGCTAAAAATGTTAAAAACCGGAATTTTCCTTTAACCTGTTAATTGTGACCACAGCCAAAGTAAATGAATCAACATTTACATTTGAGTCAAAGAATTAAAGATGTTCTTCAGATTCACAAAGTTTAAATCTGCTTGTTGTTTGATATGCTTTCAGTAACAGTAACAACATATATAGACATCTGGAGGTTTAGGACGTTATTAAACATTGACGCCACTTAATTGCAAAGGCATTATTAATGTTTGGCTGCTTTTTATGGATTCAGTTAGAGAGAAGTTTGCTCTCTTTACATGTAGGTTTGATCAAAAAGAGCCTCAGTAAAACTGTGTGAAAGAGCTTTTTGCAGCACTGAATAGTGTTGCACACCAGGGCTGCGGCCTGCATAGACGAAACCCTCGCCGTGTTGCAAAGCATCCCTCTGACTTGGCCCTTTGTGCTGCAGAGGAACGGTGAATGGTGTTCTCCAGCATGGGGCAACAATCACATATTGTTCTCCTGCTGTGGCAAAGAAGCTGTAGGTTACCCTGTACCATCACCAGAGCGCCTGAAGAGAAGATGCCCTGCAATATCTCTGCTTGCTAACCAGCGATTTGTTGAGGTTCAGACCTCTGCAGTGCTGTTTTCTTGTAGCTGTTACTAGCTGCTGGGAGGGGTTGCTCGCCCCTTTTTGGAGCAGACTGGCTTTTGTTTCGCCACTGCTTTGCTCTTTCATGATTTGAAAATATCGACAGGCCTAGGGACAAAGAAGAACATTTTCTTTTCGTTCGTTTCTTTTTTTTTTTTTTTTTTTTCCCCCCCGAGGCAGGGAGTTGGATATCAGACGGACGGGAACTGAACTGCAATTTGTTAGCATGTCGTTGAAGTCCCTCAAGGAGTTTGGCGTTTCAGCCGAACGGCTGGGCTCAATTTATAAAAGATGGATGGCTCGTGTCCAAAGGTCTGTTTGTAAAAGTTTTGTGATTAAATGTTTTTCAACTGTCAGTAATTGGTTTAGATATTTCTGTAAAGACAAGTTTCATACGCTGATTATCATAGATTTTAAATAAACTCACCTTTCATCTTTTTTGACTTATTACCTCATATATGGTGCTGTTTTTGCCTTTAGCTTTTTGTTTTGTGTGCTCTGACCACCTGATTTTGGTCCTGATTATTTTGGATGATAACACACCAAACTCTACTGCCAAAAGGTCTTAAAAGGTTTGTTTTTTGTGTGTGTCTTTTTTGTATCTAGCAGAGCAAAAAGAAATGAAAATGTCCATCAAAGCATGTGTGCCTTAAATCATCACAGTGTGTACAGTTAGTTGGTGTGACGTAAACAGCCGTAAGGAAAAATCATAAATGTTAAAATTCAGATGAATGGATTTGATTCTCTTTTCTAAAGCACTGTTTGAAGCAGATGACACTGCCTGGGCTTCCAGAACAGCAGGAAACTTAAAGCATAGGGGAAACAGATTCTCTACACATACTTAAGATGAGGCTGCTGTTGGACCTTTTTGCTTCTCCGTGTTCCTTGACGTTTTAAACTTCCCAGCAAATCATTATGTGGCTGAAAAAACAAACGAGCAATAGAAACTGGGGAAGTTTTGCATAAACCTCAACCTTTTTGTTTTACTTTCATTTTCTCAGCAACGGCAACGGGAGCAAGATGAACGGGTCACTGGAGCACATGGACCAGCCCGACCCAGACGCTATCAAGATGTTCGTGGGACAGGTTCCCCGGTCCTGGACAGAAACAGAACTAAAAGAACTTTTTGAGCCCTTCGGACCCGTGTACCAAATCAACATCCTCCGTGACCGTACTCAGAATCCTCCTCAGAGTAAAGGTATGAACACACTGTCATTCTGGGCTTTCCTTCTTATTTTATTGCAGAAGACATAATTTTTTTAAAGAAAGTCTAGCTACAGTATTTGGGTGTTTTAAGGTTTGAGTAGGGTTGGGAATTGATACATTTTTAACGATTCCCTTATCGATTCTGTGAAACGATTCGATTCCTTAGTGTAATGAAAAAGCATTACTGTACATGAAATAAACTCCTATCCCCCTGATTTAAATAAATGAGCGTCACCTTTCTGTTGCTCCCTGAACTGCGGAGCAACTTCGTAGCATGTTTCGTTACGTCCATTGCAATAGCTAGAATCATGTCAGAATTCCAGCTACCAGTAGTTCTAATTAAACATGCTAGCAATGAAGGGCTGGATTAACGAGAAAGGCACGCTCCCTTAATAACCCCAAAGAGATTTAGGATTAGGGATGGAACGGTTTATGAAAACCGTCCGAACCGTTCAGTTCGACTGTCTCGGTTTGGTTCGCGTGTGTTATAGGCGAAGCGTATACACTCCAGAGCAGAAGGTGGCGCTACTGCGACCAAAGCCAACCACCGGTAGTAAACAAGAAGAAGAAGCGAAGCAGCGTAGCCGGGTGTAGCAGAAAAAAATCAGTTGTTGTGGAGAATTGTGTGGGTATGGCGAGTGGGAAAGAACAGGAGTTGGAAGATGCGCCAGCAGCACTTTATAGGTCTGCTGTATGGGACCGCTTTGCATTTAGAGTGACCTACGATGACGGCGGAAAGAAAGTTGTGGATAAAAGTGCAACAGTGTGCAAGCATTGTGCAACACGTGTTGTTTATGCTAACAGCAACACGACCAACATGTCAGCTTAGAGATTTTCCTAACGATCAACATATACCGAACCGTGAACCGAACCAAACCGTGGATTTTGTGAACCGTTCCACCCCTAGTTAGGATATTGGTTTATTTCCAGAAATGGCATATGATTTAATAGGGACCACATTAAGCACAGCCAGTGATATAAAACTACCTACTTACCACCAGAGTTGCCTTCCATGCTGGTCGTAACTTTAGCTTCTGTCCGGAAGCATCAAAAACACGGCATTCGTTAAAATGTTTGCCATGCTGTGTGCGCAGGTGTTTCTGCGTGTTGGATGTATGGTTGTATAAATTTTCTGGATGTAACTGCCACTTTGAAATGATTGCAAAGCACCTTGTTGCCATCTTTCTCTTCCTTAAAATGAAGCCAACTTTGGATCTTTTTTTGTTGGTTTCGCTGTTCCAGACTTGCTTACTGAATGGCGTGTGAGTAATGCGTAAAAAACGTGACGCAGGTCATGCTGCCCAGAGCTCTAGGCTCTGGTGCTGCCTGGAACCGTTAAGTGAATCATTAGGTGAGCTGCCAAGCGGTGCCATGGAATGGGAACACACAGAACCGGTTCTGATCAGGAACCGGTTTTCGATTCCCATCCCTGGGTTTGAGGGATATATTGAACAGCTTGTCTTCTGATGTAGTGTTCATTCAGGACCTGTTCCCACTGAGTGTTTGAGGCTGATATCTAGAGTCAGTTGGACTAACCAGTTCTCACTCAGTGTACAGGAGAAAAAAAAAAAAACGGGGCCAAATGTGCACTTGTTACTGAAGAGGAAAATGCAGAAGGCAACATGTACATTTGCTCCGGACTGCAGACAGATGTTCCCAAACTGCACACACACATTCATCACAAACACATTTTCTTTACAAGCGCGCACAGGCAAATCTCTTCTACCAAAGAATTTACTTACAATTTAACTATTAATTTTTGCATTTTACATGTTTAGGTAATAAAATGTGTTCATAGCTTTTACATGGGTCTTATGAAAGCTTTTGATGGAGATAACCAGAGTAAAACAGCACTGCTGTGGCTGCATGAAACATGGAGGTAAAGTGGTTAATATTCTTTACACACACAACCTTGAAAAAGAACTTGCAAAAAAATGCCTGTCAGCAAAAAGTTGGTTGCATGGACTGGTGTTTTTCAGCTCTTTCTCAAGGCTCACTTCCCTACGTGTTTTCAATGCGTGTCTGCTGCAGCACACATGGATCAAATGATAGCAATACCTTCAACATGTCACCAGTACTGCAGGTGATCAAGCAGGGAAACACCTAAACAATGCAACAAGATTATTTCCACATCCATAAACCATTGATTAATTCCTTTTTTTGGGATTAAAATGGTTGATGTTAGATTTTTACCTGGAGGCAGCAGTGATTCTGGTGCCACTGTCAGAAAACCACCTAAAGGTCTGTTTATCTCTGAGTTTAAAAGCATGCTCTCTTCAGTGTAGCTCATTGGAAAAGTTCAAAGCCCTTCTTTTAGGATCAGCGTCCCCCCTTTCTCTGTCGGCCATGATAGCCTATTGACATGGTAATGAAATGTAAATTTATTCTGATAGATAATCTGGCCTGATTACAGCTGTCTTTGGTTGAACCTAAACCCAAAGAAATTTTCATCGGCGATAAAATAGCCCCCTTCCACTGCTGGTGGTGGCAGATTCACAGATAAAATGGCAGACAAACACACCCCACTCCTTATTTTATCCTATAATTTCAGCAACATATTGTTCTATCGTTGCATTAACGCATTTTTAATTGGTCTGTGAAAACATTTCCAGTGAAATACCTTAGTTTGTTGCAAGAAAGATTGCGCTTATTAAAGATGTTTGCAAAGCAGGGTAGATGGTTAACAGATCTACTAAAGCCCTTTCAGATTGCTGATGGCGTTTAGGTCACATTATGTTCAGGTCGCGAAGAATCATCTGACTGTCATGCCTTTCTGGATGGTTTATTTAGCTCCGACAAATTGGAGTCCAGGCTAAGCAGAGGAGAAAGGGAGCTCTCAGCTGGTCGTGAAAAGAGTGCAGCTTGATGCATATTAGAGTTCAACAGCCCTCCCCACAGCCTGGGAGCTCCACTAACGGAATAATACACACTATGTAGGTCAGAGACGCTGCAGTGCTCCACTTCCCCAACCCAGTGAAACTGACAGGCTGGAACGCCACTGGCGGTCTACTGGGACGGAAGGATGAGAGGGTTTTTTTTTTTCCTTCCTACCTGTTCCTCATTTCTTAATGCTCCCCCCCCAAACCATCCATCTATCTAGCTTACTCCTTCATGTGCTCTCTTTGTGCTCTTTTATGGCCTCCTGTACATTATTTTTGTTAGTTTTTTTGGATTTAATCTCTGTACAATGCTAAAAAAAACTTGGATAAACATGTTGTTTTTTTCTGCTCCAGCTTGCTGGCGCTGTGTGGCCCTGTAGACTGTGAATCAGTTTTCTTCCAGCTTGCCAACGCTGTTGGTCATCTCTGTCCATGTCCGCCCTGTAGAAAGTGTCTCATCCTTGGTGCCTACAATATCTTGGCTCATTTTAAACGTGGTACTTGGAGATGCACAATATCCAAAAAGGCTCTCTTAAAAATAATGTAAGAGGATGTATAATAATTTATGAAGTAGGAGCATAGAGGATGTCAAGCTGTCTGTGACGCCAGTTCCTGTAAAAACAGGCTGTACATGGAAATTTGGCCCTAAAATAAAAAAATATGTATTTTTATATGTAGATTTTTTTTATAAAGTGTATAATTTACTCAAACCTGCTGCATTTGATCTAATATTTTTTACTTACCCTCTGGTGGATGTTCTAAGTACTACAGTTGCTACTTTTTCTTCAAAATCCAAAATGGCTTTAGGATTTTGGAGTAAAGATTCTTATTTTGCTTTCCTTTCGGGGGATAAAATGGGGGGGAAATTTCACGTAACTGTCATGCAACAAAATAAATATTCATTTAATGCTATATTTAAAAACGGGTGACAATATTTCAGCTGTGATGCTTGGGTATACAGCCATATTTGATGAGTCAGTTATTTTTAAAACTGGTGTAGAAACATAACTTCTTTCTAACAAGTTGTATTGAATCAGATAACATGTACATTTTTGTAGTGTTGTCATTAAAAAAAAGTCTGAATGAAGATATTTACTTGGTATCTCCAATAGGCTGCTGCTTTTTCTAAATTCTGATGTAGTTTGAAGCCTGGATGGATAAAATGGTAGCTCTACCTTCCTGTTTTCTGCCTAAAGTCTTGGGCTCAATCCCAAACCGGCCCCTAAGTACTAACTGCCTTTTTTAAAATATATTTTGTTTTTAATGTCCTTCTGTCTCCTTCTCCCCTCCTATTGTTTGTTCTTATGTTTCTCCTTCTCTGCAGGATGCTGTTTTGTAACTTTTTATACAAGAAAAGCTGCACTGGAGGCCCAGAATGCACTGCACAACATAAAGACCTTAAGTGGGGTGAGTAAGCACAGCATGGGATGCTTTTAGCTGCCCGAGCCAGAACCCCCCCCCTCCATTACCCCTGTTGCAGGCTGTAAGCTGCACGCCGGCCAGTAATGAGCTCTCGGTTCACTGAAGGCCTGTCTGACCCTGGAAAAACATCAAGCCCCTCTATCAGTAACATCCAACTGAAGACTTTGCTGAACTGCAGCACACTAAGCCGAGGAGTTAAACAGAGTCACACAGACGGGGTTTAAAGACAGTTTATGCTGCTTGTTTGCCATGTAGCGGGGCAGTAAAAGCTGATCTGAATCATTGACAACCACTTTTGTTTTTGAGTTATGGTTTAGGTCTGAAAAAGATAGACTAGTTATTCTGATTTGTCTGGTGAGATTGCTGCCTGCTCAACTGGAATAAGGGCAACGGCTTGTTGATGCTACAAATCTGTCTCAATGACGCCTTCCAATCAATTAAATCTATACCAGACAAGTCCAGGTGTCGATTTAAACTGCAGCTCGGACTGTTTAGAGTGGAGCCTTTCCTCAGTGAAGGCATAGCTTATGTATTGAACTGGTTTGATGAATGAGTCTCGCTGCCGGGTCTATATCGGTGTCTCTTCACTGGAAAACCATCCATCAGCTCGACATTTCAAATGGTGCGCTTCAAATGCCAATCCCTGGTCCTACTGTTAGTGGCATTTATGCAGGTGTGACTGAGTTAGCTTTGTGTCAGGGTGGAAAGGCTGCTTTGAGTTTTTTTCTCTTCTCTGCTTGCTCATTGACACTCGCTGGTCCCCACACTGAGCAGGCCATCTGTCGCTTCCCTTTAGTCCTCGTCAAAAACAAACCCTCCGTTTCTTAAACGCGACGTGCTCAGGCAGCTAAAGCCTGGGCTCGTTTCCTTTTATGTGTCGCGGTATGGAAATACTCTGTGTGTGTTGGTTTGATTTATCTGTAGATGAAAGTGTTCATTTAATACAAAATGACGGATCCTGGCTTCACTTTTGTCTTCTTGACAAGACTGAGAATGAGCAACGTGTGAAGAGATGTTCTGTCCAGAATTAGATCGCTCACATCCCAGATTTGCCACTCCTTGTCCTATTTGCTGAAGATCAGATGGCGTAACGGATATATTAACGGATCTAAAACGTAGCGTCCTAAGTTGAAGAATACTCTGAATTTTCCTGAGGGTATAAGACGTGAGCAAGAAGACCCCACTCCACACCCCAGCCTGAAGTGAAATCTGATCCAGGACATTTGATATCCACCAGCAGCTTAGAAACTCGCCCCAGAATCTCCAACTGGTCTCGGTGGTCTTAAAGATGCAGAACATAACATGATGCTTAGATGTGGGAAGTTCTGTCTTATGTAATGAGATTGGTTTGTTAACGACTGACTCTCTAAGTCGCTACTTTTTCTTCCCACAGATGCATCATCCTATCCAGATGAAACCTGCTGACAGTGAGAAAACAAGTGGTAGGTGGCTTCGTTTTAAATACGGAGATCCAAAAATCCTAATTTGACAAGCTAATAAAGACTGAAAGAGCAGGGAAGTGCCGTTCAGTCATGCTAACGCCGATAATTATAGTCTTTCTGAAGTGAAACTACGCATTCAGCTAACAGAAATTTGACATGTTAGATGGTTTAAAGCTGTTTTTCAAATTAAAATGGGAAGCTATGTTTCAAAGAAAGCTGTAATCTTTATAGACTGGTTTCACTCATTTGTTCGATCGTCTCTATATTCTAGTTTTAGTTAATCTAGGTTGTACTGATGCCAAGAAAGCGATTAAAAATGTGTGTGGAGGTTTTTTCACGATACAATAACAATTTTATACATCTCAAAGGAATCTGTTTAGTCTACATAAATACAGTTTGAGGTTTTTAGTCTACAATTATTTAAAATGAAACGACTAATTTTTTAATGCTGTCCGAGAAGCTGTGAATAAGATTTATATTCTAGCACTCGAGTTGTTGCTCCTCTCCATCTGTGTTTATTTTGCAGTGCTGACAAATTATTTAATCTTTCATGGTTTCGACTGTGTACCCAAAGGGTTCTTCAATTATTAAGAAAAACAGATGAGGGCTTCTACAAAGGTGATGAATTCTGTCTGCTCACATCTAGAACTCCAGCATAGACGGATGCTTCGACAACAAGAGGCCTCCTCTTCTCATTACGATAATAAACCAGTTTAAGGGTGATCGGATCAAAGATATTAGTTCTGATTTATTGCATTCACCTTTAAAAGGACAGATATGAGTAGCTTTATAAACAGTCTATTTACCCCAAACCCTAGCTCCACTCTATTGAACAATATTTCAAAACAAGAGCTGTAACTGAATTTGCAGACTTAAGATGCATTCAGAAGACAGGAATAATAAGTAGAGGGAAAAATAAACTGCGAACGGCAGCAGTTCGCTTATGAACGTGGTACTGGAGTAAAACAGAGTCATGGAAGCTTTTTAAGGAGGACTGGTGCAATATCAACAGTTTGTTGCTGCTGCTTTCATGGGTTGTTCAGGAACAGCTGATCATTTTATTTTATTTTTTGTATTCGATCTGCAGCAGTGGAAGACAGAAAACTGTTTGTGGGAATGGTGTCGAAGAAATACGGCGAGAACGAGGTCAGAATGATGTTCTCGTCATTTGGTCAGATCGAGGAATGCCGGATCCTCCGGGGACCAGACGGTCAGAGCAGAGGTAAGTGGTCCTTTTAGCATCCAGGCACTCAGCTCTGAGCGCTACAGCCGCCACCCTCTTAACAGGAAGGGATTCTCATAAAGAATATTTACTCCCCACCCCCCCAAATATTCGATCTAAATGCCCAACATCCGCAAAATCACCATGTCCTGCCGTCCCTGGGACTCTGAGCCTCCACATGTCACGGTGAAGGGCTGCTGCGCTCGCTGTCCGGCACAATGGCTCGTCTCCTTGGCAACTGCCGGCAGCCTGTGTTCATTGGCTCAGCTGGCAGACACTTGAGCTCAGCTGCTCCTTTACCACCTCCTTAATCATACACTGCAAAGGCTGGCATTACCTCGTATCTTCTGCATAGCTTTTTATTGCACGAAGGCTCCGATCACAGCCAGCAGTGAACCCTAAACATATATATATACTCAGCCTTTTGTTCTTAACCGATAGCTCTGTCCTAGTTATGTAGCCGCTGCAAACGCAGTCAGAAGGGCTGCATCAGTCTTTGATGTCTGATTTATTTCAGCACTGTGTATGTGTGCATTTAATGTGTATATAATCACCTCTCCCCCCTGACACCACATAGTCGAGCCTCTGGGTGGCGATTTAATCTGTTGATCATTGTGCTCATGTGACACGTGTTCCTCTTCGTTGTGTTCTTTCTCCGTGTGCTAACCAGTGAGGGTGGTTCTGTGTGCTTGGGAGTTGCCATTTTCTGTACTGTAATGTCTTTTTTTGGGGTTCATAACGAGTTGTCCAAACCTTTTTTGTCTTGTTTTGTTTCTTCTTGTCCCTCCCTCCCCCCCTTTCCTATTGTTATCCCCCCTACAGGCTGTGCGTTTGTCACATTTGCTACCAGGGCAATGGCACAGAATGCAATCAAAACCATGCATCACGCTCAAACTATGGAGGTACTGTACCCCTTAGCACCTATTTCTCATTTCCCCCTTTTTTACCCCTCATACATTTCTGCTGCCCCCTTGTGTTGGAAATATAAATCGCTTGTTGTAGCAGTAGGCATTATTTATTAGGGCATGAGATTTATCCATAATAACCCTTGGTAATTAGATCAAATGTATAAATTTAAATAATTGAATAAAAGTCGAAGCCTTGCCAGTTATAGTTAAGAATGGGTGTCTTTTTATATTTGGAGCTGAAATAAATGCAGCTCATTGCCTCTGAGGTTTTTTTTTTTTCTTTCCCTGTCACAGTAAAAATAACCCACTCCATCAATTTTAGGTGGAAATAAAATTAGCCGCCCTTTTTACACATTGTGAGATACTGGGGCTGAGCTCTCATAGAGTCTTTGTGGAAGTAGAGCAGCAGTAATTTGACAGCTAGGTCAGAGGCTCCCCAGTGAAGTGTTGGACCCGGTCTAATTAGGAGCTCAACCAAACAGAACGCTCCTCCTACTAGATTAAATTTAAGCCCCATTGGGGTGGGTGGGGGGGGCACCTTCCCTCACCCCCCTCCCCTCTTTCTCCCAGTATAATTTCCTCCCCAATTTCTTAGCTGCCATGGGAGGTGCTGCTGATGCAGAAGCCATTTTCCCTATCCAGCCTGGTCCCTGTCTGGCTCCACACTCTGTAAAAAGAAAGAAAAGCAAACTTTTGCATCGCATGCCTTGTCCATGCGTCTGTCTGAACAACACGTGACTGTATGTTTTCAAGGTTCTGTGTAATAAAATGCATTTTTTCCCGTTATGTCCGCTCACATCTATGTTTGAGTGTTTTTTTTAACGTTCTGTCCATCTGTTGTGTGATATCTGTGGACTGAGTTTAGCTCTGCAGAGCGCTAAAATTATTCACTGTCTGCACCATCGTCCCATAACCCCCCCTCCTTTTTTTGGAATGTAGCCTGGCTCAGCAATGCATGGCAGATGTCCTCTCTGTTAGCTTTGATATGCATGTGTGTAATGCATATCAAGGCTAATATATTCCTTTTGCCACAATGTGTGCGTTGGTAAATAAGAGGTAGATGTGTGGGTGTGTGCGCTTTAGGGCTAGGCTAAAGCGTTTTACCTCTCTTACCGCTCCAGGGTTGCTCTTCACCTTTGGTTGTGAAGTTTGCCGACACCCAGAGGGATAAGGAGCAGCGGCGCCTGCAGCAGCAACTTGTACAGCAGATTCAGCAGCTTAACAACGCCTCCACCTGGGGAAACCTGGCTGGGCTGGGGACCCTGACACCGCAGTATCTAGCTGTAAGTATTGACCAACCAATGTGATTCTCCTGTATCCACAGTTTAGACCCCCTCACCTCTGTGTCTCCTTAAAAGGAAGTGGGACAAAATTAATCTTTGGTTTTCAATCTTTATTAGAAATCTAAAATCTTAATTCATCCATCTAAATAAAATTAAAAAAAAGCTCTCCATCCAATTAATTTAAACCTATTCAAAAAATATATCAAAGTTTCTTTAGCTGTATATATCTGGCAGAAACGTGCCTTAAATTTGTTTCTACTGAGTATTGACTCTGGGAATAAATACAAACACCATGCCTCCAAAAAAAAAATCACTATTCTATATTAAAATAAATTATGTTTCGACACTAAATAAACTGAAGCAGAAAGAGAAAGGTGGGACATTATGTTTTCTTTCCTCATGCTTTATAAACGTTGAGGTTTGAAATATTGTGCAATGGTTCAGCCTGATCCTTACACCCATTTTCTTGGCTCAGACGACTAAACATCTTCACTCCCAGTTTGTGTTCTGGCTAATGAGGAAAGACACGTGACTTGCATGAGTGTTCTGCAACTCTGAGCCAGAGACCATGTGACTAACACCAACAGACGAGCCGTTTTGTTTCTGCCAAGAAAACGAGGACAAGAAACTGGAAGGCTGCTATTTCACCAATTTGACCAACCAAAGAAAAATATTTCCTTAGCCAGGGATCTTTTTAAGCATAATAAATACATTTAAAATGTGTTGTTCGTCCTTAGGTTTGTATATATTTTTTTGGAGGTTAGTTTGGCTGCTCTGTTTGATCTCTGCCTTTTCTTTTCCTCCTGTTCTCTCTAGTTGCTCCAGCAGGCTACATCCACCAGTAATCAAAGCAGTTTTAATGGCATTCAGAGGCTAGGAGGTGAGTTCTTACAGTCAGAAGCTGAAACTATTTATCTCATCACTTTAAATGTAAACCTTAAAAAACCACTTTGCATATCGCCAGCTCAACATGGTTCTTTCCCTCCGACATGTTTGAAGTATATTTAATCACGCTGCTGCTTTACATCAGGGGGAATTATACAAACTGGAAGCTTATTTTAATACTGCAGACCTGAGCCTTTACAACACATTTCCTCCAGTCGAGTTAATGCACTGCAGCTGTTTTGTTTGGAGGAATGAATCTAAATCTAATCCTGTATTTTACTGCCTGCTGTAGAAAATGCCCAAAGCCTTTTGTGTATTTTATTTTAACATTACAATAATGTAACCCTGTCTGTTTTTTTTTTCTTTTCCTAACAAGAAATTCACCTTCATAACAATGATAAAAAAGAAGCAATTCTGTCTGTGTCCTCGGCTAAACCAGGATAAATCTTAACAATTACAAAAACAAAAAAATCCACTTTTTGTATCAATCTGTTGTCTTCTGTCTTTTCACTGCAGAGGTTTTAAGCTTCCTTTAACAGAAGTATATGCTTATTTGATTATGCAATATAAAAACCTTACATTATTAAAAAATGTAATATCTTAAGTTGTGCAAATATTTGCTCATTGAATTTCACAAAACATAATCCATTATTGTTAGTTCTCATGGCTAAATAACTAAGGTATCAGGCTGTTTAAAGAAAAAAAAAAACATTTTTGACTCCTTTTCAAAAAGGTTTTAGCCAAACATCGATAACTTATGTGTAACTGTAAACTATTAATGACATAAAACTGCAGAATCAGTTGATTCCTATTTGAGAGCTTAAAAATGATACATTGAGTTATATTTAACAGTGAAACAAAAATAATTTATTTTAATTTAATAATTTAATTTAAGTATGTGTACCTGTTTTTCTATTTTCCCTACATTTAAAAATAGTATTTGTCCATATTCTGTAAACGTGTGAACTTGGAGTCCCCATTTGTTTCCAGTTCTGGCTAGTGAAGCTGATACTAAATATAAAATATTAGGTAGAAAGTAATTTCAAAAGTTTTCATAATCCTCTATTTTCAGGTCTCTAAAAAATGCCACACCTGAAGCTTTCAATCTGAAGGCCAGACTATCGGGAAATATCTTAACTTGATGCTTCATTTATAAAGGCAGCTGCTGACATTGTGGGCAGAAAGATTTTCTGCAGACAGCGACAGTCTGAAAAGGCGTATGCCTACAGGAACTAGGGCGAACACATGGCCGTCCTCCATAATCAGCTCTTCATCTTTGTCTTTTCAGCAGGTGTGAATCCTCTTCAGCTGCAGAACTTGGCCACATTGGCTGCGGCCGCAGCTGCAGCCCAGAGCTCTGCCAGCCCGACTTCAACCAGCGCTCTGTCAACCAACAGCGGAGCCCTGGGGGGGCTCACAAGTCCAGGTGATTGAACTCGTATCTCAACATAAGCTGAGCTTGTTGGTAGTATTTCATTTTGATAAGGGCGAAAATACAGTGGTAGACAAACCAGAAAAAGAAAGTTAAAAGCAATCCACTAGACTTCTACCCCATTTACACTATCCTTGAAAAACCGTGCTGAGACCGGTCCAAGCTCAGAAACTGAGATAACTTATCGTGTGTAAATGGAAAGCAAACTGAACCGAACCGCGCTAACCTCAGACCAGTTCCAGAGGTGGGCTCGGTTTTTCCCTGGCTCGGTTCTCTGATAACAAGAGCGCATGAGCAGAACGCATCATCTCCGTCAGGCTGCACATCCCGACTCACACTCCGTTCCAGTAGTTGGCGCTAATGCCTCTCCGGAATTTGCTTGCCAACCAGCACAAAATAGAAGAAAAACTATAAACAACAATCGAAATCTTCTCCATGCAACATTTTAAATGATAACACTGAAATACAGCAATAATAATCAAGCATAACTTTCTGAATGTGACGGGCGCCGCCATTTTGATTTGCTTGATTCCCTCCTCCTTCGTCTTCTTTTGTTTTATGGCAGTTGGCAAACAACTTTTGGTGCATTACCGCCACCAACTGGCAGTAATACCGCAGATCGTCACTAGGAGGAACCGAAATAGCGTGGTGTGTAAACGGTCGTCAGAACCGAGCTCGGCCTGGTTAACTGATCCAAGCTCGGATCGGTCTCGGCATGGATCGGTTTTTCAAGGGTAGTGTAAATGGGGTATTTGTTTCCAAGTTTGAAGACATTTCTCTTCCCATCCATTTCAATTCACAATGTCAGGAATAGCGTTGAGTTCGAGGTTTTATACAGTAGCCCATCAAAACCTTGTTTTTGTTTTGAAAACATGCGAATTAAAACGTACGAAGGTGTCCACCCCTGTGGAATGGTGGACCCCTTCGCCCATTCCATTTTACATGGATGGGAAGCGAAACATCTTAAAACCTGGAAACAAAGACCAGTGGATTGTTCTTTTTTTGGAATCACTATAACCTGTATGACTAAGAATCTTCACCTACAGCGGTAGAAAAAGGACTCCTCTCCTTAAGTCAATGTTTTCTCTTTCTGTAATCAAGGATCGCTTTAATAATAGGCCACTACTCTTCATGAAACTGATGTTTATAAAATCTTCCCCCAGGTTCAACAGCAGGGTCCAGTGCTGGTGCCGCCATGAACACTTTGGCCTCTTTGGGCACACTGCAGGGTCTCACTGGCACTTCAATGGGCCTCAGCAACCTTAACGCTCTCACTAGCAGTGTTGGTGAGTCTTCTCTTCCTACATCTCTGAAGTTCTGGAAAACAACCTTTTTTCTGCAGCTCCTCAGTTTTTTTTTTTCTTGCTCTTTTAGGTATGGGGGCCATGAATGGTGGCCTTGGAGCCTCCATGGCTAACGCTTCAGCTGCCAGCTCCATGGATGCACTGACACAGGCCTACTCAGGGATGCAGCAGTACACAGCCTCGGCACTGCCCTCCCTCTACAGCCAGTCTCTGCTGCAGCAGAGCGTGGCTGGCAGTCAGAAGGAAGGTGAATACATCCTTTACGAACGCCAATGCTTTCCACACTCATCATGCATGTTTCATTTGAACTAGACACAAATAATAGATGTTGAATTCTTCCAAGTTTGTATGTAACTTGAGGTCCTGGTTTCTTACAAAATGGAGTAGGGCCAGAGGGCGCCAACCTGTTTATCTACCACCTGCCGCAAGAGTTTGGGGACCAGGATCTTCTGCAGATGTTCATGCCTTTTGGAAATGTGGTCTCTGCCAAAGTCTTTATTGACAAACAGACCAATCTGAGCAAATGCTTTGGTGAGTGGAAGCTATCTTTGTAGATCTGTTGGTAACTTGCATTTGTACAGCAACTCATGATTTTTTATTTTTTATTTTTTTATGTAGCCTGAAATTGGGATTTTAGTTCTTCAATTTGCAACATGACAGTAATGAAAGCTTATGTGCTCAGATGATGAGGAACCTGAATTGACTCCTATGCAGTGTTTTTTTTTGGCCCCCGATACCTGGCTGTGCAGTATTTGCCGGTACCATGTTAATTATATAATTGCCCTCATGGCTTTGTCAAGCTGCTGCCTACCTTAGTGAAGCAGGAATAAGATAATACAAAGTTAATCCAGTAGAACTTTTTATTGCCTACCTTAGGGGTGGAACGGTTCACAAAATCCACGGTTTCGTGGTCACGGTTTTC